GTCCTTAATCAAATCCACATGGTCATCGTAGATGTAATGGTATATTGGCAAAAGACTTCAACCCAAGCAATACAAGAATTTAATTTGATTAAATATCATTTCTTTTCCCTTGCCGGCGTTGCAGGTGCAGATGTAATTCAAGTTGTTTTCTCTGTTCTAATTGATTGAGGCGGATACTTTCAAGAACGATGATAATAAGCATCAGAAAGTGATGACGCGAACATCAATCAATGACATTTAAAGAAATGCAGTTGACGGCATTCCCATGAAACATCATCAACTGACAGGTATTTTTTTTTAGATCAGTTATTTCCGTTTCCCATTTCATTTCCATTTTTCTATCCAAGCACAATTCTCTTTATATAAAGCATTATTGCATTCATCTCTTACATTAATGGATTGTGAAGAAAATTTGCCACTCTCAACCCAGGGGTGGTAAATACATAACAATAGGAATTTCTTGAAAATGTGTTTATTAAATGGAAGCAGGAAGAATATCGGATAATAATAATAGTACTCAGTGCTTTGTCATGTTTGTATCCTCAGAAAGAGTTCTATTTACATTAATTATTAGTATCGTTGTTATATATCTTCCTCTGATTATTGTTATCATTATCATTATTACTATTAATAGTATTAACGTCATCATCATTAGTGTTATAATTACAATTATTGAAGTTGTTAATTAATATTTGAATTCTTTCATCACCGTAATCATCATTTTGTTATCATAATCCATATACATCCATTATTTGTATTGTTCTTCTTCTTTCTCTCATTAACATCATCATCATCTGACTATCAGCATCATCTTCATCACAATCATTATCATTAGTTTTATTAGAATTATTATTGTTTGTATTATTATTATTATTACCATTATCATCATTTTTACTATTTTAATTATCATTTTTATGTTATTATCATTTTTTTCTTCGAGTTAGTTTCAATTCTCGTGATGATATCAATTTTACCGGGAAACCGCCTACTTATTGATATATTTGGTAAATTATCATATATATTCGGCCTGGGTAGATAAGGCGTAGTCCCATATACATCTTTCTGTGTACAGTGCTTGTAACTTTACCAAGACTGGGCCAAATTTCTTATCATTCTGATGATTCTAGAACCTTGCAGTGCACACCATACGTATATACTAGATGATCAACCTTTTCTGATCGATTCCACAACGTTTCTTTCACTATGCAATCGCATGACCAGAACTGTATATAAAGTCATTATCATCCTGCACTGCGTTCTTTAACATGTTCTAAGCTTTGCTTATAGTCTATTGAAGTAGATAAGAAATAATTGTTAATACATGTGGTGGTCACACTCTTAAATACAAAACAAAGTTTTTGAAATTTTGAAATTGGGTGGATGCCCCCTGGGGATGTATTATAAGCACTAGGAAATTTAGCTCCTAAAACACTTCTGCTTTCGAGAAAAACTGAATATAAAAATTTACCGGTGCTCCCGGTAAATTGTGATAAATTTCAAATTGCGACTACGGCCGTACAATGTAGTTGTGATATATATAATTTCCCAACGGGAATAGCTTATCCGTAGATTTTAGTCGAGAAACATTGTTTTATAGCTTAACTAATATCTTGACCTTGAGAGGGAGCTATACAACATGAAGAGTTTATTATTTACAATTTCATAACTTTAGATTCGATTTCAACCGCCACAACGATCACTGAATATTGTAGGATTGCATATGCTTCCAATATGTTCATTTGAACCAAATTCATGACCCCATACCAAAACTTTGTAATACCTTTAATAGACATTTCAAATTAAAACCCCATCCTCGTCATCTTTCAATAACAAACGAATTATGAGCTATTAATCGCCTCAAAGAAGTGGACCGCATCAACATTGGTGTACCCTTGTTCTAGGCCGTGAAATAACTTCGCAATAATATCCAATTATTAAACAATAAACCCGGCCCTGCCGTTTGATTTTAAATCGAAATGAAATGTCAAGGATACGGACTTCCTCCTTCATGTGACGAGACAATATTTTCATATGCATGCCATCAATTTAAACCTGTTTCCACTGACCATTCAACACGGAGTCGGAGAAAGAAAAGCCCGCCCCACTAGCGCACACTCAAACGTAAACGCATGTCACTTACGTACGCACCGATATACACGAGGTGACGTAACAATGTGTTCTACATCGCAATTTGGCGCCAAACTTTTTCGTTTATTTTGAAGTGGCCGAATTACACGACCACATACATGTAAATGTTCAAATTAATTGGATCTTTTTCTCTCGTAAGTGTAAATGTCAGTGCATTCATCATATCAGACCTCTGATTAATCGCTAATCCGAATGTCGCTTGCATATTTTGAAATTGACGATGTTGTTCGTGTCTAGGGTAAGCTTGGGTGAAACTTCAGGGTGGCAGAACCATTAGAGTAAACACAAAAAACAAACACATTCGATAAATTATCCCAATAATTTTACCCCATAGAGTTCGAAACATGTTCGTATCATGTACTGCACCAAATAATGTTCGCACACGTCAATAAGTGATGGTCAAGGCTACTGAGATTACCTTAGATTGATTTTCTGAAAAGCTTTGTAATTGAGTTCCATTCTATGCAAGGGGGGTGGTAAACTGGTCCATTGAGACTGATGACATTTGAAGGGATAATGTGAACGGTCCCAAGTGGTAAACTTATATTCCGATACAATATTCATCCATCCATGATGCCTTCGGAGTAATATTTCCATTCATATCAAATAACTAGTTCAATGAAAGATGATGTGTGCGATGGGATGGAACTAATGTTATTGTTGTTATCCCTTGTCATTCTTATTTTGTAGAATGACCTACAAGTATTTTGACAGAAAGGAAAATGAACCGAAGTCGTATGATTCGGGTAGGATTTTTTAAATAAATAATTTGGCTAGCCTTTCATAACACAACAAAATAATTGGGGAAAAAAAATTAAAAATTCTTTAACTTTTGAATTAATGATGATGATGGTGATGATGTTGATGATGGTGATGCTGATGGTAATGGTGATGATGGTGATGATGATATGAGAAGGAAGGTGGAGATAATAATGATGCCAATGGTGGTAATTTTATTGGAAATGATGATGATAAAGAAGAAGAGGACTAGCGCATCGACTTGGTTGGTTTCGAACCCGGGACCTCCCGGTTACGAGACCACTGCTCTACCACTGAGCCATCGCGCATCCTTCGCGAGCGTATTCTATGAGAATTTATCATATTCAACATCTTTGTACATATTCCTTCAAAATGTAACAATAGAAACGACCTTAAACTCGATCGATATCCTCTTTAGAATAAATGACGATGCAGACTCAAGCCCTAACCGTAAACTCCCTATCCTTTCTATGTAAAGATCAAGCTCGCAGCGAAATTCGATAAGAATGACACCTAAGGAATATATCAACAATCCGCAAAGCATTCCCAAAAGGAAACTACACCTAGCACCTCTATAATGGCAGAAGTAACCGTTTCCCCCGACGATGGCCTTCGTTCACTATTTCTCACATTTTCAGACTATCTGAAGAGTTTCATTTAATCTTACATTGATACGCTATACCCTCGAAACGTTTTGATACAATTCCCACTTTTGCTGAAAGCCATACAATCATGCCCCGACCGAGTTTTCTACCTTTCAAAATTCCTCAAGAGTTAAACAAAATATATTTTTTTAAAAAGCCTTTCCTTTTGATTTTCTCGCAATTTCAAAAGCACAATTTGGTCATATTTATTTTGGTTGCTTCTGGTGTCAACATCTTTATTCACATTCTTTTGCTAATCTGTATTGTATCATGTTGCAATTTCTAGAGAGCGATTGCAAAGACTCAAGCGCATTTTTAATATGGTTGTATAGCCCGTATAGACATCACGTTCAGAATACGTAATACGCCCTTTCGATATTCGCACGTTTCAATAGGTGATCATGGTGGTGGATTAAAGACTATTGACACACCCATCGGTTGATTTTTCGAAAATCTTCATGATCACGACAAACTTACCAAACAAGATTTTTTTAAATGTTTTACAATGTTTGATAATGGTGTAACCTATCGCTAAAATAGGATCGATAAAACTTTTCCCCATTGGAAAGAGGTTCCGCTGTCGTAAGTCCTACATGGTTTTTGAAAAAAATCGATAGAAAGACAATGCATTAGCCCTACATTTTGTATCTATTATTATGTGTTTTCAACTTCGCATTGATGTTGATGATGTTATTGCTGTTGCTGCTGTTGTTGTTGTTGTTGTCCTTTTTTGTATTGTTGTTCTTGTTCGTCTCTTTCTTATTCACTTCTTGGTTCTTTTTTTTTTCTTCGACTTCTCGTTCTTTCGAATGAGGAAGTAAAAGAATGAATCAATAATTATATCTATTTATTGCAGCAACATTTCGCTTGATTCACCTAGTATTGGTATTCGAGTTCAATAGAGCATAACATACACCAAGTAATGGACCATTTAATTCAATTCCAACTTATTATTTCCTTCCATCGCTTAGAATAATACATTTAAAGTCGTACTAGAAGAAGGGTAAATGGAAAAATGGGTAAGACTTCGACCAAGAACTTCCCGTTTTGATATCCTCCACTCTCTCTCTCTCTCTCTCTCTCTCTCTCTTCTTCTTCTTTTTCTTCTTCTTTCACTTCCCCTATTACAAAATACTCTCTTGCGGCAGGGTCCAGGGGGTGTTTCACAAAGATCCTAAGTTGAACTTATCTCTAAGTTGGACTTAATAATTACGGAAAGCCATTAGCATCCTTGGAAATATTTTGTAAAAGTTATTTCAAAAGGCATAAAAGTTGATTTAAATCATTTATATTTTATATTATCATTAGAGATCTCATGTTCTTGATGTGGAATTTATGAAAAGTCTAAAATACTTGAATTTTTGCTTTTGAATATATTTCATTATAAGGCTAAAAATGGCTCTCCATAATATTTAAGTCCAAATTAGAGTTAAGTTCGACTTAGAATCTTTATGAAACACCCCTAGGATAAAACATGATCAGTGTGAACTCACCCAGTGCGACTTCCTCGTTGTTGAGGACGGGTTCGAGCCCGTAGTTGCCCCAGCCATCGCTGCCGATCCAGATGAAGCGACGGTAGGCCCCCGCCTTGGCCGCTGCGGTGAAGATGTTTCGGGCAGTCTCGAGTTGGACGAAGAGAATGACCACGGTGGAATGGGCCGAGTTACTCTGCGTGTCCAGCAGGTCGCTGATTAGCTGTTTGGGAGGATTGGGGTAAAATATGATTAATAACAACAATAATAATAATAATACAGTGCTTTTACAGAGCATATCACTGTTGTAGCGTCTCTTTGCGCTTTGGAAGAAAGAGGGATAAATAGGTGCCGTAAATGCCCGACTGAAACTAAGTCAAAAATGCTGTTCAAACAAGTGTGTTTTAAGGATTATATCTGGGCAGTTTAATAAGCATAAACTACCCCCCCCCCACACAGACACACACACGCACGCACGCACACACACACACACACACAAACACGTTACTGACCACATCTCAGATTTACTACATAATGATCACTTTACAAAAGACCAAATACGAAGTGATACGAAACTTTTTTTTTTCTCGTTCAGAGTACCACAAGACCTGGTAGTGTATGGGACACAAATAACAAACTACTATGGAATTGGCTAATTGAAGAATAAGATTCATTAAACCCGTAAATACAAAATAAATGTATTTCAAGTTATGCATTAGTAGAGTTGTCGTAGTCGAGTGCTTTAAGCGCTTGACTTGAAAAGCAAAGTTCGGAGGTTCGATCCCTGGCAAGGCATTAATCGCCACTCTATACCCATGTGATCATATAGTACGAGAGCTCCCCAGAGAGTGGAGATGGTGCACATTGTGCGTGAATGAATCCGATGACTGGGGTAATAATATTTGTTTTAATACGATTCACCCCTATTTGATTTGATTCGTCTGTATGGAGGAATTCACTTTGTATACAATAAGCTGTTGCGATGTCAGGCGAGCATGTGACAAGCTTTAGACTTGTCGAGAAAAACAACTGGTCACGAAATATCCAAGAATAGTCTATTATATTCCGTTCATATAAACGAATTCAAACAATTTGTTAACATATATCACCATGATCATGCCAGCCGGAAAACTGCACTGCAATGGTTATCGAAATGTTATTTAAACAAAAACTCGTAACAATTACTATATCCAATCAAACATTTAATAAAAAAGTTGAAATTCCAAATAGAATACATTCCTTCCTGTAGAATTATTTTCCCCCTGTAAAAGTTGACTAAAAATCAATAACCGAAAAGACGCAAGATTATGTACAGATTATGTACAGATTATGTACACAAACTTTGACAATATTCAATATTTCCCAAAAAAATTTCTCAAACATGGCTTATTTTCCTGCAAAATGACACTGGTTCTTTTTTCTTCACTGAGAAAGTTTGAAAGCATTTTTTTTTTTTTAATCGAATATTCTTTCCTTTCGACAATGTCATCTTCGACGAAACTCAAGATGCTATATGACATTTCATGATAACAAATACTTAAAAACAATGTGTTTATCATGCTGTCAAAATAGAAGATTAGGATATTCAAATAGTACTTGAAATTACACGCAAATGACAAATTTGAAGGCGACAGAGTTTCTATCAACTTATATACATTTCGCTCCTGTTACTACTTGTCAATAGAGCGTTCTCCCCGAAAGTGTTACTCCAAATTGAAATACGATAACCAGGGAATTACGACAGAGTTTGCTATATTGAGCGATTTATTTTGATGACACTTGGGAAACATTAGGATCGTAAAGCACTTAAAAATATTGCGCTTTTTAATTCGCCGAGAGATTCATTTTTATCGTTACATCGACCCTATTGCTGGGTATAGGGTTTAAATTGGGAATTTATCCTTCGTGGTTCATTAGCGTATAAACTATCAGGCAACATGCTACTTTAATTTGTCAAGAGACCAATTCATACTTGGTCATTACATCGACCCCATATACTTGGACATTATTTTTAAAGTGAAAATTCATCATTCAGTGCTCGTTCACGCAGGATTTATCAGGCAATTATATTCCACTAGATTATTATAATGGGGAAAAACGTTTGGTGTGCAAGCGTATCAATTATACCATGGAGTTAGTAACTCCATGATTATACTGAGTGATTGATTACAAGGTTAAATGGATAATGTGTGAGGTCTCTCATCATTTATTCTAGCTAAAGAACAACGTCCCTATGACGCTGAACGTCCCAGGAGCGTTTAAACGTTCATAGAACGTCACTTCATTTTCATCTCACTCTTCCAGAGCTAAAAACCCAATTACATGTGCCTCGCTTTTTCCTATATATAATAGGAATTCCATGTTTTAAGATAATACACCTAAGGGCATGAATTTTCTTTTAATTGTTTGATGATTTCTCAACCTGACTGCTAAGAAAGCATGTATATTCTTGTAGGTAAGCAACCAGGGGACCGACGGCTTTAAGTCAGCTCCGACATAAGTCGTAATGAGGATTAAAGCCTTATACCAAGGGGCGAGCGCAAAGACTTGGTTGTGAACCGGCGGGACCCTCATTCACATTTAATACTTTCTTTGTTATGTCATTAAATTTGTTGTGTATCTTTTGTAATAACTATATTTGATGCTAATGCTTTATTGTGTTTATCTCTATTCCATCAATCCTATGTCTCGTAACTTATCATATTTATATATTTTTTTTAATTGCTCTGTATCTGCTGGATGAAAAGGAGTCTTAAGAATGTTTTGTATTAGAATGTTTATTTTTATCTGAATGACATTCTATCTGATTCATTGATACCATCATGCCAATGACTAGGTCATGAGAGTAGAATAGCCCACAACCTCTTAAATGCCTTTGATAGTTATAAGTAGCAGCTGCTCTGAACATTTTATGCAAAGGATCATCTTATTAAATTATCTTCGTGGTTTGGATACGTCACCGAACCATGGATCACAAGGTCTGCGGTTTGAGTCCCGCTGCGGCACTAATGTCCTTTGGAAAGACATTGATCTACATTTGCCACGCTCGACCCAGGTGATGTCAATGGGTACCCTGGCAGGAATTAATTATTTGAAGTGCGTATAAAAACCGATTGTGGGCATAATGCTGAAGGGGGTCCCATCATGCGTTTATTTCTCACCCCCCCCCCCTGTCCCTTTCCTCTTCTCTACCACCTACACCCCTTCCCCCCGTTTCCCCCTAATTATGCCACTGATTCGCATTGTTTTGAAATTAAGGTCTATCAGACACATTTTATTCACATTGCGTCGAAACGAGCTGAGCAGATGGGTGTTAGTATATTACACATCAGTGAGGGCATTAGTAAGAATTAACCACACGAGCTACCTAATTTGGAACAGTCTAACACGCCCGAGGCGATAGCCGAGGGCGTTTGGACTGTTTTGAAGGTACCAAGTGTGGGTAATTCTTACTAATGCCCGAAGAAAATGATGTGTATTATTTGTTTTATAAGATTATGTTTTATTTGTTTCATAAAATGATGTCTTCTAACATGATTTTTATAATGATCGGTCATTACCATTGGATAATGACCGGTCATTTCCCGAATTACGCGCGATTACGCGTTAGGCAAAATAAATGCATGGTCACGTGTACGCTTTCAACAAATCATTTGATTAGGATCCACGTCAACATCTTATAACAAATAATAATGTCAGCCATAAAACCGCTTGATTCATCTCCAGTATGAATAGGGCTTCAGTATAGATTTCACGACAGTCCAATATGATGAAGTGGCAATATCTTTTTGGTAGGTATTGTGACGGGTTCGTGTCGAATGTTAGCTGAATTATTGGACCATATGACTAGCCAGTGTAGAGTTGTAACGCCGCCACAACTTATGTCTATTCAATTCAATTCAATTGATTTTATTTTTTCATGCAAAACATAATTCAATGAAATTGCAATAATATTTGCAACTTAATAAAAGTATATTACTAAAAAAAGACAATAAAAAGGACAAATATAATAGTTATGGCACGAGATTAGAGCATGTAACTATCTAGTGTGGAGTTGTGACGCTGAAATCAAATCTGACAATGCTAAAGCTATGCCGTATTAAGATGAAGAAATTGACAGAATTATTAGACCATATGCAGTTTGAATTTGTAGCGCTGAATCACCTTAGACAATGCAAAAACTAGGCCGTATTTACATGAAGAAAAATAAATTTTGGCTTGAACATGGTTTCTGCTCATTTGTTTTGCCCTAAAAGAGAAGGGCAAAAGAAAAAACAATTTGGAAACAGGATTAGGGGGAAATGGAATTCTCTTTTGAGAAAACACCAAAGGATCAGGGTGTTGATGAAGTAGGAATAAAATTCATAACATTCCATGCGGTTTTTTTAAAACATAAACGCGCAGTGTTTATCACTTGATATAGAGTATTCTAAACCGCTCATCCAAAAGAAAAACAAGGGGGAAATGCCAACTAGATATCCTACCTACTTCAATTCTAACACTAAAGGAAAACTTGTACTCGGAATTAAATTTCACTGACAATTATCACTTGGGCATTCGGCACTGCATGTTGAGCAGAAATCTTTAGAGTCTGAAGATTATATGTATTATTTATTTGATTATTCACCTTCTTTTCTTTTTTTTACCAGAGTGGCTTTATCAGTGATTGCAACACAGTTTTACAAAAATAATAATAATACTAATAATATGCATATCGATAGCGCCGTCTATCTAGAAACTCTATTCCGAGGCGCATTAATTATCGGCCCTGTAAATCAACCCCAAAACAACGTGAACAGCATGATACAAGATACGAACAAAGGACGGTAAAACAAAAAGTAAACAAATGTTGACTGAATAATCCAACCCTTACCTCATCGTAGGTTTCAGTCGATGCCGGTATCGTCCGAGCAACCGCCAGGCAGATATCGTTATCGGCAGCACGTGACCGGAACTCGGTCTGCGCACTCTTTCCATACGTGTCGTCTGAGTTGATAAAAGACACATACTTCCATCTGTACAGGAGAAGAATATCAACCATCGCTTTTACCTGGTGGAGAAAAAGAGAGATAATAAAATAAAAAGAAGATGAACAGCTTACCGACATTTTAAACCTTCAAATCGTACCAACTTAAAGCTCATCAGTACTAGTGTTAAGGAGGGATTAGACCAGCCTGCAAGTTCACTGGACAGGTGGTTATCTCATAAAATCAGCTTTCAAATAACACAAGAAAGGGAGGATCATGGGGGGGGGGGGGGGACCACTGGTCACCAATTGGCTATGTTTTGTATAGAGGGCGCAAGTAGCTACGAGTAGTGCAGTGGGCATAAAGGTTAAATTGAATATTAGTTTGAAATTAATGGGTTATTCTGAGGTCCAGGATTCTCTGACGGGAGGGGAGGGGGCAACAATTTTCAACAACTTCTGACAAGCAAGCGACTAAGCAATGAAAGCAAGCAAGCAAAGAGAATCAATTGATAGTCGAGTGGGGACAAAAATGGACGGGGCGTGCCCCTAGATCCGCCATAAGTTGGAAACTCGAATTTAAACTTGGATTTGAAAGAAATGCATAACAATTATTTGCTAAGAAACTGTGTTTTAACCATGCTCTGAGAGAGAGAATAGGCTGCATGAACAGTAAATTTACCCCCAACCAACATTTTAAACATTTAGGTTAAATTCCTGTAATCCTATAATCCGACCATAATCCGATGATCATCGTATAATATAAAACGTACATTAATAAGCTGTATCTTTGTTCATTTATTCAGTTTTCCTTTTAATATATAAGCGGATGAAGTATACATTCAAGTATGCCGTACTAAGGTAGCTCATAATCCTCCGAGGATGGGGAAAATGAAATAAATTCCAAGGAGTTAGAGAAGAGGGAGGCGAGGGAGATGGTTTTGAAGTAGATTGTGTGTTTCAATAAAGGAAAAACACTTGTATGTAACTCAGAATTATAAAGAGTATCCAGTTTTATTCTCCAAACAAAGAGAAGCAATACCTGTCCTAGTTTTAAGGATAAAATAACTGTGTGGTGCGGTAATAATTTCATATTATGTAATTGTGCTATAATTCATTCGTATACATTGTTAAATTATGTTGTATGTTCGTTTATCAAATGATAAAAAGCTTTGATAAAATTATGTTCAGTTTGTATAAACTAGGACTATAGAAAATGATATGCTTCTATGTCATGTACGGAAAAGAATTGGAGTTTTTAGACATAATTGCGATGAATACACCAGAGAAATGTACTGTCTAGCAATAAAACCTAAGTTGCCCGTAAATGTTTGTTTTTTGTTTTTTTTGTAAAATGAATTTATTGATAAATATATGTTTTTGAACAAATTAAACAATCATACACAATCAATTAAAATAACATCGTAGCATCTTAACATAGTTCAAATAAAACATGTTTCGTTTTCTTGAATAACAGTGTTTTAAAAAATGCATAGCTTTTTTGTTTTATAGTTCCGTTTGATCTTTAATCGGTTGTGGATTAGTCTTTTGAAAATACAAAGAATAAGAATTCATGAAACATGAGTTTGCGATTTTCTGCTTGCATAAAGTGTTAAATAAACTGTGTATTTTGCATATATCATTAAAAAAAATAAACGTTTAAATATTTTGTTTTTCAAGTTATAACCTTCAATTAAAACGAACTTGTCAAAAGAAAAATTAACATTGTAAAGTTTTCGAATTATGTCTCCAAAAAATAACCAAAACAATCTTGTGTGCTTGCATTTTACAAATAAATGGAGATTGTCGTGTAACTGATCATCATATAAACAAAGGGATTGTTACACAGTTTCCATTTGAATAAAGTATACCTATTTGGTAATAAGTTGTGTAATAAATTGAATTCTGATATTTTGTTTTCTTTCATAGCTTGTAAATTAAATGACCATATGACTTTCCAGTCAATTTGTTCTGTACTATTCAACATTTCTTCCCATTTCTCTTCGATTGGAGGTCTAACAATTGAATGAAAAGACAACGTAGAGTAAAAAAAACTTCGTCTTTCGTTTAGTGTTAACATTCATTAAAATATTTTTCATGACACCTTCATTTTCTTCTCGTGTCGCATCATATACATGTACCTGTCTTAACATATTCTGTTTTCAAACTTTGGGAATTGCATTTACTATGATATAATATTCTTGAAACAAAGAAGCATGTTTTTTCTCAAATCTTTCTTCAATTTCTCTCAAAGACATAAATCTAGAGTTTTTTACGACATCATTAATTTTCAAAAGGCCTACATCGAACCATTTGTTAATAAATAATACATTTTTGTTATGATGTCTTACATTTGAGTTAAACCATATTTTTTCACTTCTAACATTAGTACATTGTAAATCAATTGGCGTCTTAAATTCTAATATCTCTTTAAAGTCAAACCAAGTATATACCATATTCTTGTAATATTGGGGCATTTTTATATTCTTTAAACAAAACTTCATATCATCTTTTGTACATTTACTATTTAACTATTGTAAATTGCCCACTTTTTTTAAAAGAAACCATCAATTATCTTTTTCCATTTTGAGTTTTCGTGGGAGAAGTAGTGCAATATCCACTTTAATATAAAACTTTGTAACAGAGCCATTCAAATCACCCATTTTTAATCCTCCATACTCATAACTCATACAAACCGCTTTTCTTTTTATTTTGTGTTTTTTTTCCATTCCACAAAAATGTATACAGTAAAGAATCAATGAGTTTCATTACATTTTCCGGCATGGAAATCATTTGAGCATTGTATATAATTTTAGAAACAAGAAATGAATTGATTATAGTTATTTTAACAGAAAAAGTTAAGCGCCTCGCTTTCCATAGACGTACTATATTTTCAATCTTTGATATTTTGGGTTTCCAATTAAGATTTATTAGGTTTTGTTCATTTTTCCCAAAATGAACCCCTAATATTTTAACATCAGAATAGGTCCATGGAATATCATAAATGTTTTCACCAATGTTGTAATCGAACGATTTTTCTAGTCGTTCATATTTCAGATTTCGAGGTCACAGACACTTCGTTGCCCGTACAAATGAAAGCAATGTTCAAGGGCTTCTTTCAAAATATATGTAATGCAACACGGTTTACCCTCGTCGCGAAATTCTTTTTTTTTTCTTCCAAATTCACATCGGAAGTATATCACTTTAAATACAGTGAACTAATACGAGGGATAGGTACATGAGTTGGGTCGTAAAAAAACACATAATACATGTTTCAGGCGTTATTAATTGTGGAAAGCATTTTACTTAAGGCTGTTAAAAACCTGCTAGTTCTAGTTATATGAAACATGCCTCGGCGACAATTGCTTTGCGGTCAATTTCCTACACTAACTGAACTCCTAAGTTCAACCCTGGACCCAGCGCTAACCTAACCCTAGTCCACATTTGTATATATTTGTTTATTCTTCAATCAACTCCTCCCCCCCCCCCTTTCCTTACACCCACACAGCGCGGTGTCTCCACTGATCGTGCGATTCCCCCCCCCCCCAAAAAAAAATATATATATATATATATACATTCGTGAAAGCACTGTCTCCGTTGTAGCGTTGAGAGTAGGGACGTTTAGATTTGCACGTCGACATAGTGGACTGCTACGTGTCACGACGTCCTTTTAAGGCACTGTGAGATTATTAAGGCACTCCTAGTGCCTTAAAAGGACGTCACTGGTGCAAATCTAAAAGTCCCGAATGTGTTATTTTCTCAGCTGATTGGGCGCGCGTCACGGAAACAGTCCAGGCAATGGACTAACCCAACCCTAGACTTAACCATCAACCTAACCATAACATTGCGACCCTTGTCCTTAACATACATCTTTTAAATAAAGTTTAAACTCACCTTGCAGCTGAGAATCTAACTAATTAGACTGACTAGATTTTTAACTAAGCCGTCGTAACCCCATATGTAGCCTTATAGCCTTGCCTCTTGAAAAACATTTTTTTAAAGGTCAAAAAGCTAGAAGCCATGTTTGTAATTCCCACTTTCTGGAGGTTATAAATCCAATCTAATACTTCGACCGGTGGATGGTGTATCATCCAATCTTCTAATGATAGCAACCTCCAAGATATTCCCTTTTTTATGGTTGCCCCAAAGCAAAAATAAATGTAACGTCATCAACATCTTGGAAGCCATAACAAGTCATTAACCTAAAAGTTAAATAGGGGTATTTGCATGCTATAGGAAAGCATAATTTCTATTCAAAGTTATTGGATGCCTTTTTAACGATGTTTAATTTGCGTTCCCCCCCCCCCTGTAATCACTTAAACTGACGAATGGCTCGTTCGGAGCTGAAAATGCCGAAGGGGGCTTGCATAATGCAGACAATACGAAGGTAAACCTTTTTTTTAAATATAGTATACGAATGTCAGTCTGATGAACGCGCTAGTCAATGGCCGTGGCTTTTGTAATAGCAAAAGTCATAAACTGATGTGCGTTTCGACGATTTTTAAATTTTAAAAATTTTGATCTCACCTATAATTTATCTACTTCTTTATTTGGTTATCTTCTTATTTGTAGGTTTATTTTTTTATCTGTTTGTCCATTTCACGCTTGTGGGATGGAACATTATGAACGGGACGAATGTTGTTTTACATACAAATTTGTCTTCAAAATCTCAAATGATCTGGTACAAATTACCCGACACTTTGTAAAAACCCTACGGCAAATGTACAAACGGTCGCATTTTCTTCCGTTTTTGTTTCACGAAAGGCCGTGTAACGCGACAACCCGACCGGACGCGATGACCCGATGATCCGAAGAAAGTCAAGGCAAGGGAGGGTGGGGGGAGGGGGTGTTAAGGATCCTTTGGGGAGGGGGTTAATTTCCCATCAATGCATTTTTAAATGTATGTTAAATACAAGCCATTCACAACTCGTGAGGGTGAAAGAAAGATTTCCTCTATCCAGACGTGGAAAATCAATCATTTCACCTACCTTCAAAACATTGTCCATGGGAGAGGGATGCAAGGTTCCCCCTCAAATATTAGATAAAAGAATTTAAATAAAATTAATTAAAATAAAATCATCGAA